AGTTTTATTTTCTTTACTTAACTCATTCTTGAATCACAGTGGAGAAAAAAGAAAATCACATTATTCTAAGGTTGGCCACTTACTGAATTTCTAAAGCCTGAGTCAAGGGGACAGATATTGTTAATGGCAACACAATTAAAGGAACTCAAAATTAATTTAAGTGAGGGGGTCATGTTTGGGTTTTGAGCTATGTCTGGAATTTCATTTGCCTTCAACTTATGACAGAGAGACTACATTCTGAGAGGATAAAGCAATTGACAGAGAAGGGAAGGATCGGAGCCAGCTTCTCTTATGAACTACAAGCTCGTACTTGTATGAGGTACATTTCTAAAGATTTTTGTTCATACTCATGCTGCAAGGCTCACTGTAGATGCCAGGGAGCACATTCCCGAGGCCCAGCTAAATGGAGAACTCCATCAGGTCTGTCTTTGTGTGTTCAAAGCACATCTCCCACTGGTCTACACTACTTTTGCTCTTTAAATGTTTCTGTGGTGCTAGGTACCAGATTCAGTGTCTCGGTCTGCTTTCTATTGCTGTGATTAAACTCTAACCTAATGCATCTTGGGGAGGAAAGGGTCATAGTCCTTGAAGGAAGCCGAGGTAGGAAGTCAAGGCAGGAACCTGGAGGCAGGAAATGAAACAGAAGCCATGGAAGAATGCTATTTACTGGCTTTCCCCCCATGACTTGCTCAGCCTTATTTCTTATGCAACTCAGAACCACCTGCCCAGGAATGGCACTGTACTCCTGCGCCCTCACGGTGGGCTAGGATCTTCCCACATCAATCAAGAAAATGTCCTACAGACTTGCTTACAGGCAATCTTATGGAGGCATTTTATCAATGAGATTTTTATCAAATGAGATTCCCTCTTCCCAGATAACTCTAGCTTGTATCAGATGACAAAATTCCAGCCAGGACACTCGGGAACTCATACATTCTAGGTAAGTGAGTTACCTCAATATTTCTTTTATTTTCCTCTTTCTACCAGGAGAGAACCTCAGCTATATGTTAATCTATTTGGGATGTTTTATATGCCTTTTAAATCTTTCCTTCTTTTAATAAAAAGAATAGCCTAGCACAGATTATCTGCAGGTGTAATTTACATGATGGCATAATAAGATGGTTTAATAGTAACGCCATTCATGAAGAGTATATTGAATGATGATACGCAAAGAATGTCAGCTCTCAATGTTTCTCCTTAATGGATGAATCCATTGCAACTGATATTCCAGAGGTTTTTCTTTTCAACAAATAGGTGTTAGATAGCCTGTTCATCATTCTACCTGAGTGACAGGGAACACAGGTGTAGTGCATCGAAACAGCTGGTGAAAAGATAGCCAGAGGCCCCACAGTGCTCAAAGGCGCATGTTTAAAGCACGAGAACCGCCAGCTGTGCAGTGTACCTTCAACCTCCTTAGAAATATTACAGACAACATGTAGAGTCACGCCGAGCAAGCAGAACAAGCAGACAGCTTTTTATGGATAACAATACAGAGCTCAGGGTGCTGTGTTAACAGACTAGCCCAGAACAGAGATGACTTCCACATAAGCCACAACTGGATAGCCACTTCCAGTATGAAATGTTGCTATGGTTTGAATGTGTTCTCAGCAAGTTCATGACCTGAAAACTTAATCCCTAAATTCATTTGTTGATGGTACTTGAAGAAGGTACTAAAAGGGAGATAACCAGGGTTGGATAAGGTCATGAGAATGGAGACTCTGTGGTTGGATCAATGGTTTTATAAGAAGAGGAATAGAAACTTGAGCTAAGAGGCTGCTTGGGACTAGTCATGTGATGTCCTTTTCACATGAAGACACAAGAAGCTGGCACCTTCACCTTGGACTTGCTGACCTCCTAAATGAAGAGAAATAAGTGTATTATAAAGTGAATGGATGAATGGGGGATTGGAATGGGAGGATTCAGTCAGGAGGGAGAGAGAAGAGGGGGATGAGGGAGGGAATATAAAGAAAAACAGTCAAAATTAAGAGCCATTTTGAGGGGGTAGTATAGAAACCTAATGCAGTAGAACCTTCATAAAAATATATACATCTATGAAGGCAATCTAACTGAAATAGTCAAATAACTTGGAGACAGCCCCAACTGGCCATCTCTTGTCGCCAAATGAAGATTCTAGTACCAGGATTGGATTATATCCAGTTGGGTTGTTGGCCAAAGGGGTCCCATGGGAACTCTCAAACAACATAGGCTGTTGCCAAGATGTCGGTTGATTTTCAGAAACTGACAGCAAGACCTCATTGCTGAAGACTTATTGAACATGGAGAATTGAGCTAGTGCCTACATAGAACTTTCACTCCTACATTCTAGCATCTTTGGTACAGGAAGGTACTTTGCACACTACCAATGGAAAAACACAAACACCAAACTAGCCACAAACCCTTTGATCTACAGTGGTGTCCTGCCTGTAAGATATACTAAAGCAGTGGTGGCCCAAAGCTTGTGGGAGTAGCCAACCAATGTCTGACGTGACTTAAGGCCTACTCCATGAGATGGAACCCATACCTGACACTGCTTTGGTGACCAAGAACATGAGACTAGACAGCCCATGGATCTAGGGTAAAACCAAATACTACTGAAAAACAAACCAAAAAAGTACCAATAAAATGACTCCTAACTACATTCTGCTATACTCATAGATGATGGCCTTGCTCAGCCGTCATCAGAGAAGCTTCCTTCTGCAGCAGATGGGAACAAATATGGAGACCTACTACCAGACATTATGCAGAGAGTGAGAAACCTTAGAACACTCAACCCTAAATGGGATGTCCATCAAATCCGCCCCCCCTTGGGGCTCAGGGAACCCTGTGGAAGAAGAGACAGAAAGAGTGTAAGAGCCAAAGGGGATGGAGGACACCAAGAAAACAGTCCCTTTAAAGCAACATGATCAAAGCTCATATGAACTCACAGATACTGAAGCAGCATGCACAGAGCCTGCATGGATGTGAACCAGATGGAGTCCTAGAGCTGAACGGAGAAGTAGGCACACGCCCCCTAACTCTAACTCAAAAACTACCTCCAACTGAAAACTACTTGCAAATGAAAATGTAGTATTCTTCTAGGAAGTCTCACTAGGGAAACAAAGTATATTCTTAAGAATAGGCTGTGTGCCCAGAAGTAGATGGCCAACAGAAAATGAACTCAGAAGCATATTTAGAGGTGTTGTGTCAGGGCTTGATCTCTCTCTCTTTTTCTTCTTCTTCTTCTTCTTCTTCTTCTTCTTCTTCTTCTTCTTCTTCTTCTTCTTCTTCTTCTTCTTCTTCTTCTCCTCTTCTCCTCCTCCTCCTCCTCCTCCTCTTCCTCCTCCTCTTCCTCCTTCTCCTCCTTCTTCTTCTTCTTCTTCTTTTTATAAATTTTATCTTATTTTTCATTTTGTTTATATATTTTCTCTTAGGAATCAGGCACTCCCTTAGCCTGCTTTCAGTATCTCAGTGTTAAGCAGCTTGGTTATCATCAGTTACCAAAGGCCATTAAAGGTCCCCTCCATCACAGATCATGCTCTTGTTCTCTTGCTCTGTCTATCTGTCTCTCTCTTGTCCCCACTCCATGGTGTGATCACTGAGCATTCCTTGACCCTAAAACCCGCCAAGGTACTCCCAGCACTTAATCCTAACAGTTACTTCTTACTAACCCCACTTACTAATTATTAGAAAATTTTACATACATGACAAGAACTAACTTAAAAAAATAGTTAAGTTTGACAATGAAACATAATTTGAAAACACAGCTCTGCTTTCCTTGTATTCACAGACAGGTCCTATAGAATTATGACTGTGTTTTTTTTTTAAGTTGGTTATATTTCCTAATTTCTTCTCTACCCATTTTATGACCCCAGTCTCTTTTGGAGCCTGGGCTCCTTGCTTTGCATCCCACAAGACTATGGATAGTTTTCACAAGCACCTTCCCACTGAGCCCAGTGGCTCTGTACCAAACCTGCCATTGGCATATCTACCTTATGTTGTCATTATATTCCCTTTATCTCATCTATATTGTTGATTGTAATTGACTGCAGGAAAGGACACATCTTATTCACCATGAAAAGTCCTATGGTATCCATGTCTAATTCATGGTAAGTATTTGATGAGTATTTTTCAAGTGAATGAGTACAGGTAATAAACACATAATTTATAGGATGTGATGTTCTTTGTCAAACAATAAAAAAACACCTGTTAAAACTATAAATGGTAGACTCTTGGGCGTTCTGCTGTTTGCAGCTTTAGAAACCAGGCCTGCTCACATTTATCCTCCCGTCATTGCCACGGCCTGACTTCTGCTGCTCTCTGGCTCTCTTGCTATTGCCTGAGCTGGAGAGGGCTGGTCATGTTCCTGCCATTGCTCTTCCCTCTTCTGTTTACACAAAGAAGTCACTCACCTGCCATATTCTTTATGCTTATTGCCAATTGTAAATATTAGCATGTTGGGAGAGATGTTACCTTTCATACCTGGGATTTTCTATCATATAGAAATGCTTGCAAACCTCCATAGTATCTTAGGTGTCCATGCTGGGTGTAGCCCTGGGATACACTATTTGGGTTCTCAGTCAACATCCCTCACTCATGGCAAACTGATTTATTGAGTCATGACCTGTGCTAAAATCTAGAGCACTGAAGCCAGGATAATTAACAGACCCCATGACTCAAAAATTAATTTTATCTATTGTTTTTGTTATTGATAATTTCTTGAATCAAATGTGCAGTCAGAAAAATTCACTGTTGTGTTTGAGTATTTTTTATCAAATATAAATTGCAGCCCCCAGCAGGAACATTCCCTCTTCAATGTAGACTGTAGCCTGTTACAGTGGCTGGACTACGTCAGTGACATAATTTGGATATGTCATTCATGGTCTAGAAGCAACTCAAAATGATTCTCATTTCAACAGTATGGGAGCAAGCTCTATCTCCTATTCTCTCCTTATGCAGGTAAGCTACTATTTGTGAGTGTACAGTGTGTGAGTGTGCAAACAGTGTGTGAGTGTGCAAACATACCCGCTAGTGGAGTCCAGAAATCCAGTTACACCAGAGAGTTGGGGCCAGTTGAGCTCGTCGGTCAGAGCTGATGGCAAGTTGAAGAAGGAGTTCTAAAGGAAAGAAATAATAAACTAGTTATTATCAGATAGTCACTTGTTTTGTGTTGGTGATGAGAATACCCACAGCATAAGCTGGTTCTCCATCTGTCTGTCTTTCTGAGCCTTTGGCATTTAAAGAAGATGGCTCATGTCTGGCTGTCACCTGAAAATTCACAATAGTAGGAATCACTGGTTTCCATTAGTCCTGTGAAGTAAGAGGAACACGTGGAGTCTCACGCATTTGAGAGGGATGCAATGGGACAGGAAATCTCCAATCCTCCAAATATTCTGAGGTCTCCTACATCTTTCAGTTGAGAACATCAGAAAGTTGACTACTTAAAAAGTAATTGCCCTGAAAACAGTATTGAAAGTCAAGCAGAATGTCCCTAGTCACTAAGGCAATGCCTCTGAACCCTCAGATTCTGAAGCATTTCTGAGAATCAGGCTGTGGCTTCTTTCCCCATAAATATGCAGCTATATTCAATATGTCCTACTGTGGGAACTGGAAACAAAATGTTCTGTCTTTTCCATCAAAGGGCTAAATAAGACAAAACTCCACTTTAAAAATGATAAAGAAACCACTCAACAAATTCTTCCAGGGTCTGCACATTTTGAAATCAAAATATGTGCTCAAGGTTGCATTCCCTTTTCCAAAGTTGTTCTTGGCTTATCAGCTGCACATCTGTGAGTCGGCCAATCACATGTGAGTGTGAGGCCACGCTCTGACCACTCACAGTGAGGCACAGGACCTCTCTGCATTAGGAGTAAAAGCCCAGTGGGCCCGATGCTGGGTGTGCTTGCCTGCTTGATTTGGCATGGCCACATCAAGTTTGATTTCGGGGGAAATCAAACTTTTCTCTTGCCAAAATACTTTGGATTTTGTGGTCATTTTCTTGGGACCCAAGATCTGTTCTAACACTATCATCTCCGAAGATTTGCACACCTGCTGTGGTGTGAATATGGTGTGTAACCTCTGAAACTCCTGTTAGAATTTAATCCCCAGTGGGAGGCATCCAGAGAACAAACAGAACCAGACTGTTTAGAGGTAGGGTTTTGAGGAGATAATTAGGGTTAGGTAAGGTCACTAGGGTGGAAATCCATGATTGAATGCTGTCATCTTTGTAAGGGGAGGCACACACACATGTGTTCACAGTCACCATATGTTTTATACTACCTCAGCACTGCCAGCAAGGGGAGGTTACCACATGTAACCCCTAGACCTTGAACCTTCCAGAAGCAGAAGCTAAAGTAAACCTCTTTAGAGTTTATCCAGTCTTTATCATCGTTAGCAATAGAAAATGGACTTATGTCCCCTGTGACTATTGCAAAATGTTGAGAGCCTATGGCCTGGAATGTTCCAGGAATGGTCATTTCAGTCGTAGTTCTGCGGCTGGAATGAACTTGTGGAAGAAAACTGTTCCGCTATGACTGCTTATTATTTCTTTTTAAGTGGCTCCTGGCACAAATCCTTCGAGGAGCCTCATTTCTAGAAAGAACGTACCCAAACAGATGTGTTTGGAAGCCCTCTACTATGTCGATTGACTTGTCAAAATTAGCCACGTAACTAAGAGGTGTTCAGGTGCAGCCACGATCCTCCCGTCTTGCTTTGCATCTTTCCCCCATCCTGATCTTTACCTTACGGTGGTTTCCAGCACAAGGAGCTGGAAAAGGAAGGGCATGGTGAAGAAGGATGGCTTCCTGAGGTACAGCTGCACTGGTTGGGGGTTACCTCCTTCAGAGAACAGAAATGGATTCTTTGAAAAGAGGCTCCTAGAATTACCTTAGAGGAGCAAGAAATCCATGACTGAAACTTTGTCACCTTGGTGCGTCCCACTCACACATTCTGCTCTGAACTCCTCTACTACTAGGACTCAGCTACTCTATGTTATGGCTTCTATTTCTTCTACCACTGTGGGGCAAAGCCTTCCTCTGTCTGTTTTGCTTTCCCCCTATATCGTTTTGCTTACAATGCATGTTTGCTGTAGGATTTGGGAATATTCAATTCTGCTAGAGAAGGCAAGGAAAGCAAACAGAGTGGATAAAACTCATAAGCTGTATTAAGCAGATATATGAGTAAGCAAATGGCTTGTGAGATGCAGGCAGAATTTATGAGCTGGTTCTCCATAAGATGTGTTAAAAGTTAAGAGAAGGAATGCACTCACCCTTTTCTCTGTCCATAAAGTGCTCACTGACTTGGAAACTCAGATGGAACTAGATTTTGGGGTCTGGTGGGGCTGTTCTTTCTTCTACAATAAGGAGTGAGACAAGAACTCTGCCAGCATGGGGAGAACTGGCTAGTACTCTGTCTTAAAATAATAGTGGAGGAGAAGGGCATTCTGAAAAATACTGGCAAGGGAAGGACTTCACTCCGGGAATCAGATCTATGTCTAGCTCCACAAGGGCAGCACACTCTGTGATTTGAATACAGCACCTTGACACATGGCTCTGTACTCTATGCAGCCACTGTTCACTGTTTTCCCCAACTAGTCAAACGACTGGGGAAGAGGACATGTTGAGGGGATGTGTAGGACATGTGGGGAAAGGGCAGTTGATAGTGTCTTTGGAGTTGTGATCTTCAAGCCCCCAGCATTCCTTCAGCTCATTTCTCCGGAGAACTGGGTCTCATTTACTGGGGGTAGTTCCTGAAATCCTTGCTAGTATACAGGAAGCCCAAACTGCTCTGGCGCTAGCTGTATTAATTAGCATTTAAGCTGTGCTGGACAGCAGCTGGTGCTGAATTGCAGCTGGAACCCCAGGGAGTTTGCATTCCATGGCTGTAGTCCTGGAAGTCTTGGGCAGACCAGATGCACAAATTTAACCCCGGTGGTTTGAATAACTTCAAAATAATTTAGAGCTGTGTCTCCCTCATTGAATGTTTTAGATTTCACTCATGGTATTTTGGCAAAGCCTGACTGTTTCTGGAAGAAGCTTGTCAAGGAAGACACAGTTCTAGCAGTTCCTTGGCTTCAGAAGTATTGTCTGACTCAGCAGGGCTTTGGGAAAGATCTGAAGACACAGTGAGGAATTGGGTAGCCAGCTGAAAAGCCAACACAGTACACAGCATGTGCTTAGGATGAGCCGCCCCTTTCTAAGAGGATTGTCCCAGGCTTCAAGGAATATAGTTTATTGTCAGATAACAGAAGTGATTTGAGTAGCACAACAGCAGAATCCACAGATCCCCACCTCTCACTTCCTTAGTTAGCTTGGCAGATAAAAATGAAAAGCAACAGCCATTAATAACAAATGTGTGAAAATCCCAAGCAAAAGGAGAACATTTAAATCATATTAAACAGTAAAAGCCATGTTCATGCAACATTATACCAAAGGCATTTCCAGCAGGAGAAAGGCAAATGAAGATTTCCCTCATCAACTCCTGTTTATTCCTCTTGAGCATTCATATTCTTGAAAGTCTCCTAAATGTATCTTAAGTGCACAAATGTGGAAAGACTATATTTACCCAGAAAATTTTCCAGTTAAAAGAACTTGTACTGCTCAGAGAGGGTCAGGCTGACTAGTACATTGCTTCATGTCTTCCTCTGTATTTTCCAATGACATGACTGAATTTATATGTTGTAATTAACATATTTATACTAGTTTTTGTAGCAGTTTCATTTAACGTTGTTTGTGTTTGTTTTCATATATTGAGAAAAACCAGTTTTTTAAAATTTTAATAACCATTAAGAAAAATAAAATAATTTGGATTCATGACTAGTTTTTAAAGAGTAATTTTTACTTGCTCTTTGACAATTTCATAAATGTATACAATGTATCTTCATAGTCTCCAACCCAAATCACCACTGATTCATGACTGTTTGAAGCCATCAAGTCAGCAAGCTGGTGTTGGGTTCCTCTGAAGCTTTGTTAGTGAGAGAAAGAACAATGACATCAACCACGTGTCATCCGGCTCTGTCTGTCCTCCAACGACAAAGGAAGCTCTTTGAAGGCATGCAGTTTGTCCTCTCCATCCCGCAAGACTGTAGGCAATTTTCATAAAGTATTCTTTTTCCTAACATCCATAACTGGCTTAGACCTGAACTGATTATTTTCAAACAGTGTAATGTCATTTGAAGGTATATATGGGTAACCATTATCAGGAAAAAAAAAAAAAACGATATGAAAAATATCAGTTAAATAGGCCTTTTATATTCAATTACCAGGAACTGAACAGTTAAAGAATACAAAAAGGAATTGTTGGTTTAGAAAGAAAGAAGTAGCTGTTGAGTTGGTTCCTCAAGGCTGAAGAATCAGAAATAAAAAGACCTTAGGATCATAGATTTCCCAACTTCACTGGCCTGCAGTTCCTTCATCATGCTGCAGGTGGTGCATGTGAGCTTCTCTTGCTAAAGGCTTTTCAGTTCCCAAGTATCACCATATTGCCAACTGACTGTTCAAGTCCTCCATCCTTGTCACTACCCAAATGTCTTTTCTTATACAAATATCAAATTATCCAACTTAAAGAGCTCCCTTGACTTTCTTGCACACTTCCCTGCTCTGGCCCCATTCCTTCAGGCTTTGTTACATGAATGCATTCTGTAACCAAATGGTACCCATCACAAGCGCACTAGAATATGCTGTTTTCTGGGTGATGTTTGCATTTTTCAGACAGGGTAAGTAACTAGCATTGAAATCCTCTTACATGCCAGGTACAGAGACAGGAAACGGGCACAAAATGTTTAAATTAATGACAGAACACTGTGGAGCAAGAATTTCCCTCTCTCTTTCCCTCCTTCCTTTTCTGCCATCTCCTAGAACTCAGCAGGATCTGTTGGTGAATAGCTGTAACCCAGGCATGAGAACTGAAAGTCTGAGGCCAGCCTGGGTTACACTACTGCTCCCTCAATGAAAAGGAAAAGATAAGAGAACTTTGTGAACACACACTACCAATATTCCCTTCTCAATATTCCTTTCTGAAAAGGAGCCGAGACATCACCTTCAACCAAACAGCAGTCAATTGATGTTCAGTCACTAACCCAGTGAGATGGGTGGGAAAGGTCCCTTTCCACCCTGGATCC